AGAAGTTTAAAGGGACTCTCCAGTGCCAGGAAAACAATCTGTTTTACTGGCACTGCAGGTACCCTCTCCCTCCCACCTCCCATCCCCGGTTGCTAAGGGGGTAAAAAAAACCTTAATGTCCCACGTCGCTGCTTCTTCCTCTGCCGCCACTCCTCCCCTTCATTATGTCAGCCGGCGGGGGAGACTATGCCACGCATGCGCATTAGACCTCACCATAGGAAAGTATTGAAAATGCTTTTCAATGCTTTCCAATGGGGATTTTAGCGTGAGGACGTCCAGCGAGGCTATAGCACAGAAAACCTGTGCTATGGACCAGGAAGTGCCCTCTAATGGCTGTCTAGTAGACGCCACTAGGGGAGGACTTAACCCTGCAAGGTAATTATTGCAGATTATAAAAACTGCAATAATTACAGTTGCAGGGTTAAGGGTACTGGGAGTTGGCACCCAGACCACTCCAATGGGCAGAAGTGGTCTGGGTGCCTGGAGTGTCCCTTTAACCAAAACCGGGTTTCCTGACATTCTCAGCCAATCAAATATGAACAAAATTCATAGCGCTAATAAGTAATATGGCATATGGGGGCCAGACTGCAATGAAGTTCCCTGTTTTTTGTCAAACTGCTCAAAAATGTACCAAAAGCAGAGAATGTGGTTGCAGCCTACTAGCACCATAACCACTACAGCATTCTAGAGTGGTTATGGTACTTGAGGTGTTCCTTATAGGGCATAATGACTTAGAAGATAAAATCAAGTTATACATTTCAGTTTGAGAATGTTTTCAACCACCAACCATGCAGGAATTACAACACTTATCGGTTCAAGGTTAAGATGTGTGCAAATTTATAATTCCAAGGGCTAAAGTAAGATCTGAAAGATTTTGCAGGTGTGGCATTTGAAGTATAAGAAAAAGTTAAACCATACTGAATAAATGTATAGTAAAGGTGATCGAAATATTTGGAGGGATAAAATCTATAGTTGATACATTTTTAAAGAGGGATAACACATAAATAAGTTCAGCAACAGCAGACAGCGTGGTCGCCCACTGTAAAGGCCAGACAAAGACTGATCATACGACATCACAATTGGGAAAAACCTTGTATACATTAAAGTATCAATGCGTACAATAAAGAGATGTCTGTACGAGCAGAATGTGGGAGGGTTTTAGCACTGCCATGTTGCAGTTCACCAAGATCAATAATAAAAATCTGCAGAGCTCTTTAACAAAGTTGACTGAAGCACATGCAGAGCCGTGGAACAAAGTTTATAGACTATTACATTTAACCTGTACCAATGGCATGAGAAAAATGTGTACAGGAAGAAAAAGAACTGCACACAGCCCCAAATTATGCTCTCTCAATACTCCCCTGCATCATATTTTACAATTATGGACAGGATGTGAACAACTGCCAGTTTGATTGACTCTATGGATCACAGTGATGATGAGGCTGTTGATGGCAGCAGCAGGTAAGATTCTTCATCCAGCTACAAGGATTTAAACCACACTGTTAAAGGAAAACTATAGTCACCTAAACAACTTTAGCTTAATGAAGCAGTTTTAGTGTATAGAATATGCCTCAGATTTCACTGCTCAATTCACTGCCATTTAGGAGTTAAATCCCTTTGTTTCTGTTTATGCAACCCTTGCCACACCTCCCCTGGCTATGACTGACACAATGGTTTCACTTTCAATCTGATGCAATTTACCTTAAACAATTGTATCTCTTGATCTGTAAACTGAACTTTAATCACATACAGGAGGCTCTTGCAGGGTCTAGCAAGCTATTAACATAGCAGTGGATAAGAAAATCTAAGTTAAACAGAACTTGCATTAAAGGAAGGATAACTATTAGATGACTCTTTACAGGAAGTGTTTAGGAAGGTTGTGCAAGTCACATGCAGGAAGGTGTGACTAGGTTTCATAAACAAAGTGATTTAAACTCCTAAAGAAAATTGAGCAGTGAGACTGCAGGGGCATGATCTATACACCAAAACTTCATTTAAGGGAAACTCCAGCGCCAGGAAAACAATCTGACTGATCCCGCCGGCCGGGGAGACCTAATGCGCATGCGCGGCAATGCCACGCATGCGCATTAGAGCTCCCCATAGTAAAGCACTGAAAATGCTTTTCAATGCTTTCCTATGGGAAATTGAGTGACGCTGGAGGTCCTCACACAGCGTGAGGACGTCCAGCGGCGCTCTAGCACAGGCTTTTCTGTGTTATCGAGCAGGAAGTGCCCTCTAGTGGCTGTCTAGTAGAGGTGGAGTTAACCCTGCAAGGTAATTCTTGCACTTTATAAAAAAACTGCAATAATTACACTTGCAGGGTTAAGGGTAGTGGGAGTTGGCACCCAGACCACACCAATGTGCAGAAGTGGTCTGGATGCCTGGAGTGTCCCTTTAAGCTAAAGTTGTTTTGGTGACTATAGTGTCCCTTTAAAGCAACCAATGAGTGTTTGCATTTCACATTCCTAAAGACAAAATTATATAGTAAAATATAACACTGGTGTCTCCAAAACAAACCTCCCCACCCCCCCCCAAAAAAAACAAACAAAAAAAACACACAGACACAAAAAAATATACAAAACTACACTATATTATGCTTTTGTGTTTACACACCCATATATCTAAGATAGTTGCCTGAATGTAGAAACCTGCAGGCTCGTCTTGCTTAATGGACCACTATAGTGCCAGGAAAGCATACTCATTTTCCTGGCACTATAGTGCCCTGAGGGTGCCCCCACCCTCAGGGTCCCCCTCCCGCCGGGCTGGATGGCGAGGAAAGGGTTAAATCTTACCTTTTTTTTCCAGCGCCGGGCAGGGAGCTCTCCTTCTCTTCGGCTGAATGCACATGCGCGGCAGGAGCTGCGCGCGGCCAGTCTTATAGGAAACCTTTCAGAATGCTTTCCTATGGACGTTTGCGTCTTCTCACTGTGATTTTCACAGTGAGAAGCACGCAAACGCCTCTAGCGGCTGTCAATGAGGCTGGATTAACCCTATTAGAGGTAATCCAGCTTTAGAGGCTGGATTAACCCTATTATAAACATAGCAGTTTCTCTGAAACTGCTATGTTTATAAAAAAAACAAAAAGGGGGGGCGGGGGGGTTAACCCTAGAAGGACCTGGCACCCAGACCACTTCATTAAGCTGAAGTGGTCTGGGTGCCTAGAGTGGTCCTTTAAAGTATTTAAAATAAAGACGTACATATTTGCTGTGCATTTGGGATTGTAAATGCAAGATAATGGGGTTACAGCAATGCTACGGTTATTAATTTATATTGAGCAAGTGTAAATTGCCAGGAATTGAAAATAAATGTCTTGTGCCAAACAGGCAAAAATTCTGAATCAGCCCTATCAAAGAGGAGTCTGTCTCTTTCATAAAAGGGATTTTAATTCTCAATTTGGTAGCGATATTATAGTAAGAAACACTAGCTGCTACAAGTCATACATACAAGAACCTGACAAAATGGCAAACAACATGAATCTAGCAAGTTCCCCTGGGCCTATGCCCACAGAGAAACACCATGTGCAGAGTGTGGCGCTATAGGGAGCTTTGTTTTCTGGCACTATGGTTACCCTTTGAATTTACAACCTGCCTACAAGACAATCAGAGAAACTAAAGATGTAGTGCTATCTAGTGATATCCTTTCTTTAGGTCTCACTTTGTGACCTCTCCATCAGACGCATGTTGCTTTGTAGTTCAAATAAGTGCAGTCAGTGACTGAGCCATCTACACACATTTGACAAGGAAGTCTCTCTCTCAATTGAGGAGGCGTGTCTAAAGAAGCAGATTACCGGTGCAGAATTCTGCATAGCGTTTATTTTTTTGTGCAAAAAGTTTAAAAATATTTCAGCATGCAACAAATTATAACATCATGAGTTCAAAGCCTATTAAACGGATTAAACTTCTATTGGTGCCCAGTATCCTTTAACACCTAAGCACATTCAACTAAGATGCCACTATATTAGAGCATAGAACAGTGAAATATAATGGACTTCCACAAGCCATCTAACACTAGAAATGTCTTGTAAACCCCCCCCCCCTTTTTTTTTTTTTTAATGCAAGCTCCTTTACACTGAAAGGTATTTAATACAGATACAAGAACAGGAATGACAATACAGGAAGTCAGTCAGTAGAGCAGTGTGCCATGTAATCGGCACATAATCCACATCAAGCTTCTGTTTAACGGACAAGGTTGAAAGAAGAGTTGGTTGGTTACAATGCTGAGGTTTAGATGTTGTGTATATCACAAGTTGTTATCAAAGACATGGGCAACCTGGCGGTCCAACTTAAAACAACAAAATACAGGAATAACAGAGCAGATAACCAACGGCATGCCACACAACAGCAGGAAATAGGCAGATACCAGCAAATCGGTGGGGGGTGGGGGGGTTTGATTTGCAAAAGAAAACTAAATGAAGTGAGAGAGGGTAGGGGGAAAGACAAGAGGAGGGAGATAGTGCTCATTTGAGCATTGATCTTAATTAGTATTTTGACTCTAGGAATAACAAGAGACTATATAAAATTTGCTGCCAGTCTATGGAAATGAAAAAAATCTCCTCAACCCTAGAAATCTTATTGTGAAACATGGAAATGGTTCTTTAACCACAGAAAAGAATGAGACTCCTGGCAGCCTTCACAAAGAGAGCCAGGCGGGAAGTACAGTAGACTTTAGGGGGTCAGGAGACCGAGCTTGGTGAGTTTGCCAATGCACTGCAAAATAGTCTGCTTTCTTACACTATGTAAAAATTTAATGAAAGCGCTTGAAAAAAAAAAGCTACAAATGTGTAAAATTCTAAAGTCGACATGTTCTTGACAATACAAACTGTGGATAATCAATTGCCAAGGACTTCTGTTTTGTAAACTGTTTTGAAAACAAATGGAACATTTGGTGCTAATCTCAAAATATAGTAGGTCCTGGAGATAAAGGCAACAAATTAAGATCTTATGAGAATATTTTAACAAAATAAATGCGTTGTATATTACCTTGTGCAAGAATAAGGCCCTTTAAATGGTAGATCTGCAAGAATATAAAGAAAATAAAGTATAAATAATGAAGTCATGTAATATATTCTTTTGGATCATATATTTATTTATAAAAATATATTTTACCAGGAAACATACATTGAGATTTCTCTTGTTTTCCTGGGTCCACAAAACATTGCATTGATACAATAGGGTACAATAATAATACACAATATATACAAAATTTAACATAGAACAGGTAGGAACTATATAAATCAACCATGACAGGTACATTTTGTTTTGAGATATGTATAGAGGGATCTCTTAAAGGACTTTAGGCTGGGGAAGATTTAAACTATATATAGTTAAACAAGTAAGGTTCAAAAAAAGACACAAAAAAACCAAAGCAAGCAGCCTGTTAACATTTACATAAAAAACATTTTTTTTTTAAAAATAATTTGCTTTAAGTAAAATGAGTATTACTAATTTACAGTTTGTGCTGTTGTGGGTAGGTGTTTCTTTAAAGCAGTGGTTCTCAAACCAGTCCTCAAGACCCACCAACAGTCCAGGTTTTGTTAGTATCCCCCTGGGAATAAAACAGGGAAATACATAAATCCTGGACTGTTGGTGGGCTATGAGAACTGGTTTGAGAGCCACTGCATTTAAAGGGACACGAAGGTTACTAGAACTACAGCTTAATGTAGTGGTTCTGGTGTCTATAGCCTGTCCCTGCAAGCTTTCCAATGTAATTGTTGCCTTTTCAATGCATCTCTATTAAAGTTGACCGATTGGTGCAGCGTTTTGCCGCACATGTGGGAAAGCATTGGATTGGCTGAAATCATCAAGACTGCTGATCTCAGCCATGGAGGCTGGGCCAGCTGCAGCAAGACCGGTGTGGACCTCCATAGACCTCTCTGCTGTACTCTACCATCGGCGATGTGACTTTTAGGGTTTTATTTGCGAATTATACAAAGTCCCCAGGCATGCACAGTGCCACTTTAAGTCTTACAGAAACACAATCCAATGATAAAAAGAAATTAATAAAGCATAAAATAAAAACTAAAGTGGGCCAGTCATTTTCCATAAATGTAAATTCTTTGCTGCAGAGGGATTTAGATAGAATGGGGGACTGGGCACTAAAATGGCAGATGAAATTTAATGTTGAAAAATGCAAAGTTATGCACTTCGGCGTAAAGAATTCACAAGCAACGTATACCCTTAATGGAAGCGAATTAGGGATAACAACACACGAAAAGGACTTGGGAATTGTTATAGACAACAAACTATGCAACAATGTGCAATGTCAATCAGCAGTGGCCAAGGCCAGTAAGGTATTGTCATGCATGAAAAGGGCATTCATTCTCGGGACGAGAATATCATTTTGCCTCTTTATAAATCACTGGTAAGACCCCATAATGAATATGCTGTGCAATTTTGGGCACCTGTTCTAAAGAAGGATATTATGGCACTAGAAAAAGTGCAGAGGCGGGCTACAAAATTAATAAAAGGAATGGAACGTATCGGCTATGAAGAAAGGTTAACAAATTTAAACCTATTTAGTTTAGAAAAACGTCGTCTGAGAGGGGATATGATAACATTATACAAATATATTCGGGGCCAATACAAATCACTGTGTGGAAATCTATTCACAAACCGGACTTTACATAGGACACGTGGCCATGCGTTTAGACTGGAAGAAAGAAGATTTCGTCTAAGGCAAAGGAAAGGTTTTTTTTACTGTAAGAACAATCAGGATGTGGAATTCTCTCCCTGAAGAAGTGGTTTTATACAGATGTTCAAACAGCTACTAGTTGCATACTTGCAAAAACAGAATATTCAAGGATATAATCTTTCAATGTAGGGTAATAACTGCTTGATCCAAGGATAAATTTGACTGCCATTCTGGGGTCAAGAATAAAAAAAATTTCTAGCTTGTTGAAAAATTGTGCTTCAAACTGGTTTTTTTTGCCTTCTTTTGGATCAGCAGCAAAAAACAAATGTGAGGAAGGCTGAACTTGATGGACGCAAGTCTCTTTTCAGCTATGTAACTATGTAATGTAATGTGTAGGACAAGCAACAGTATGCAACATATGTTGAGTCATAACCTGCCCACCATGCAAGTAAATAAGAAATTAAAAGGTCATCGCTCAATGAAAGAGACCCTCTAATGACAAAATAAGTACCAATATCAATATGACAATTTCTAAAAAGCAAAACTACAACTGAAGGAGACAAAGTAAACTGCCAAACAAATAAGCCAGCTGGCTAGGTCACAGGTTTTCCCTGCTTATCCCTTTCAAAAGCGAACCAAGATGGGTTCAGCCATTCAAATTGCGTTGTCTTGGTAGATATATAGTGCCACTAACCAAAGAGAACTTAAAAAGACGATCACCCTCACAGGGCAAGAGTACCGCAGAAAAACAAACGATTAACCACATTTCTTAAACATTACCGGACCAGAACGCAGAGACAAAATTAAAATAACCATGTTAATGATGCTAAATTCTGTGTGCGTGTCCCCATAAAGAACAGATGTGTGAAAGATACCCAGATCAGATAGTTTCTACGTATAACTCGATAACAGCTGATTGTTAGTGCCTGGTGTGATAATAAATGATTTGCACTGTATACAACCGAAGTAACTCCCATTGCTTTATGGTATTGCTTAGGATTCTCTGCTGGCAAGCATCCAGCTGGCTTGTTGTCTGACAATTACAAAAACATCTGATAAAGGTGAGCAATAATTTAAGCAATGCGAGAAGCTTCAAAAGTTTCTTGGGCAATTTCTGAATTCACTGCTCTAGGTGATTAAATTGGTAAGACTAAACAAAATTATTCAGACCCACTTATTGTGCAACATTTTAAAAACGCACTAATTACAATACAAATCATGTACGGTTTAACCCTGAGCTCCATGGAGGCTAGTATCGTTTAACAGCTTAATCTACATCAGTATTATATTTTCAGTGCAGATCTCTTAATGTAGCTTACTTTGCACAAATCATTCACAAACAGCCTTTAATTGCTTATGGCTGAACAGAACGTGTCCTGAAAGATATTCCTGGTAGCAGATGTCAAACTGTATTAATTACAAGATTGGTGTTATAAAGATCTTTTTAGCAGATCAGTAATGTTTGCCAATGGTTAATTGAAGCCAAATACAAGAGGCATGGACCACGTGCTCAACTTGATTGATTTAAAAAAAATAATAATGTAGCAGTTCATCACTTCCAGAGACATTAGATGTGATCTATATTGTATTGCACAACTCTACTTAAAAATAGCCTCATAGTCAAATGATCTAATAGTTTATGATCTGCAGAGGGTCCTGCACTCAGAAGTGCATCATGTCTATAGTGAATACAGTTGGCTTTAGACTAATATGATATATATATATATATATATATATATATATCTAATAAAAAAAATTTGTGTGTGTGTGTGTCAAGGACAGTCAGCGATTTCATCCAAGTGTGATAGCTAACTAAGATTTGGTTGCACCCAAAATGGATATAAAATAATCAAAATAAAATATAAACCTAGAACACAAATTTTGGCTTTTTCTAAAGTCAATTCACGTGCAAAATTTGCTTTTGTTTTTAATATTTCGACATAAAATGATTAAGTCTTGAATAAGTTAGAATGAATTACAAACTGTCTATTTGTTAAATGTACATGTCACAGGCCAAATACACAAATTAAAAAAAATCACTGTTTAGTAGATATACCTTCAATGAAAAACATGCACACACTATGTATTTTTTTATATGGGGTTTATCTACAAATTGCTTGCAAAAGCTGCATATATTTGTCCCCCGGGAGGCATAACCACCTACCAAAGTTAGTGGTGGAGGTTAACTGCCAGAGATGAAAAATGCTTGTGAAGAGCTTCAGCGTTTCAGCCAATCAAGGCAGCCATGCAGAGCGTGGGAGTCCTGATTACCTCAGATATGGAGGATACCTATACTTGAGGCAGCCCCACTGACATTAGAAGGCTCCATAAGAGAGCTTTCCTTGCCTTCGACCTGTCTTCTTCTGTGGAGTTACTCATAAAAAGCAAAATAAGGAAAGGAAGCTTGATTTATTTTGCCAGTTCCTCATTCAAGGATCATTTCTCTGCTCCTTCTTCCCATCATATGCGTTTGAGTAAGCAGAAAAGTAAATGGACAAGAACCTATAAGGGGAGAGAGTGTGTTTTCCTAGTTTGAGCACCAGAAGCACTTTTAAGAGAGTCTCCTCCCTGTTCCAGGGCATTTGCTCATTCATCCTCCCAAAACTGATCTAGTTCTAGACTATCCACCAGATAATAGATTGGGAGTCTGAATAGTTGGGTCTGTTCAGCAGCTTCTACTGAGCGAGGGAAGCGTAGCAATGTACAGATGGCTGGAGTAAGTCTCCTTGGAAACTCTCTCGTCCAAATTATTTTACTCCAGATAGGCCACGGAGCATGATTAACCGCAGCTTAATTGACTATTACTGGGTTACACTTAGCCGATAGGTGGCAGTGTTATGGAATTCCCCGGACAGCCAGCAGTGCTCAGTCCGGAATCCGTGCACTAAAAGCGGACACTTTTACATGCAGGCACCGCTGAGCCTCCAGCCTTCCCTGCTTCTATTCGTGGCTATATAATCGAACACCTGATCAATCGGGACTTTGTTTTATGTGAATGCTTTAACCCAGATAGCACAGCCATGGAGCCTATTCGTGTAATTAAAGACTTTGGCTCCATGGCAATTGAACTGTTTGTATAGGATTTGAGCGCTCTTCGATACAATTGTGCGCTCAGATCCCAGCTATTTGGGGATGGGTTACATGTATATATTTTATGTGATAAAGGTAACATTATGTATTTTAGTGTTTTATTATAACCACGTGTGTAATGGAGTTTTGCCTCTGTCCTGGGAGATAATTGGATTACTTCCCAATTATCTCCAGGATAGAGGAGAGGAAATTAGGATGCATTGTGGGGTTGTTTTACTTCTGTGTGTCTGTCATTGGTGCATGTCTGCCCTTTGTCACAGTCTCCCATCTGGTCCCCTAGGGGAGTATCCACCAGGGGGGAGACCTGCATAAATACTGGGCAGGTAGCCCTGAATAAACCAGACCACTGCTTGACCCTCAACACGGAGCTCTGCCTCGTCTTTGGGGGGGGGGGGGATTTACTGTATGCTGTTAGAGACTGATTGCCAGGAGTGTAAGCAGCTTGGGTGCTTTTCCTGTTCGTCTGTTAGCAGCTATTCGTGAGGTTCCAGTTCAGGAGTTTGGAGTGCTACTTCGTATGCAGTTCGGGAGTTTGGAGCATTCCCTTGTATTCAGTTCGGGAGTTTCGTGTTCTGCAGTAGTTGTGCCTGTGTCTCTGGAAGGGAAGATCTACTAAACTGCGGTTTAACCCTTGCCTGGGGGTGCCGTTACAGGAGCCTTTTGCGGTTACATTGACGTCAGAAGTCTCAATCACACTTGGGGTGCGTTTACAGCTCAGAACGCAATAGATAGAAAACAATTTTGGCCATAGAAAAGTAGATCTGTTTGCATCGCAGACTTCAGCACAGACTCCCAGGGTGGTTCCAGAAAATGGATGCTATGTCTTTCCAGTGGAAAGATGTTCAAGCCCCTATGCTTTTCCTCCTCCATCTTTACTGATGAAAGTGTTGGAGAAGATCAGGAGGGATAAGGTACAGCATCTAGTTCTCGTTTACCCAGTCTGGACCTCCAGACCCAGATATCCTCTGATCTATCAGTCAAGATCCCATTGGGCTTGACGGCAGAGTGCTTTCATGAAATCAGCCATCTTTTGTTTAAACTTCCGCAGCTGATGTGGATTGCAGTCCTAGTAGGCAGTTAACCCATCTCCTTTTATCAGATTAGGTGCTACACATTGTTAATTCATCCTTAAAATACAGGGACTAGGGTAAGATATAGTAAGATGATTGAGGAATTAAAAAAAGTGGGAGGTTATTTCCAATCTACTTCCAATGGGTCTGACACCCTTAAGCTTTAGAATGTCTTACCCCAATACAAAAAATAAATAAAAATTCAATGTTTAGTATTATATATCCCAAATGAAAACTTAAATGCATTCAATTATACGTTCTGTCATCGGGTATATATAAAAGAATTTGCAATACCTGCAGTTGTCTTGTCTGCAGATTGCAATCTCTCCCCTTCTAACACCGCTCAGACCATGTGTCCAATCACAGACTTCCTGATGAAGTCTTTTCAAAGCAGGTGCTCTGAGCAATTGATGTCTCTTGAGTTTAGTGCCACTGAACTAACCAAACCAGGAAGTAATATGACCTTTTCTCTGCTTGAAAGCCAAGGGGTTGTAACCAGGCTAATTTATAAAAAAAAAAAATAAAAAAAATACAAAAAATTTAATTTCTATTAAAATCTGCAATTTCTGCAAAATAGAAAAAAATAAAAATACAAGGGGGACACTATTCACAATGAAAGCTGTTCAACGAATGCTTTAGGGATCTAGAGTGTCCCTTTAAGTTCCATTCTGGTTTAGCAGTCAGTGCCATTAAGATTAAGAGTTCTACGTTTTCTTATCCTTAACCTTACCAAGGATGTTTTGTATCTGAGATTGTTTAAAGGAGTTATCAGTCTGCTGCACATATACTCAACATTACACATCTACTTGACCTCTTAAACTTCCTTAAATCCTTGGACAATGCCAAGATTTATTTTTCAAATCCATATTTCAGAACCATGGCTGTCCCGACCCCAAGAAGGGTTCCATATTATACTTAAAGGGAGACAAAAAACTTCTCATATTTCTCTGGATTTGGTTCAGGATCTGTATGAATTAGGCTGTTTAGTCAGTCAAGGGCCTTCCCCTTTCTATTATTTAGAAAGCTGCAAGATGGTAGTTTACTGGAGACCATCAGACATTGGACACCTTCAGTTTCTCAAGACCATCACAGGGTGTGTCTTATACTACCCACTAGCTTTGCCAAGTGGTTATGCCTCCTAGAGGACAAACAGTTTGCAGGAATCTATGATCTGCAAACCTTATTTGTCTTGGGGATCAGCATAACCACCTAACAATAACACCTGTCCCACCCTCCTATATAATATTTGCCCCTTGCATTCAAGATCCCATTGTCAGAGACTTGTTACATTTAGTTTTCTTTCATTTTACAAAAGTTTCTCCTGTTGTGATTTATTATGTAATGGCTTCAGTGTATTTTTGACATGTTCTCAGATCTATACATAGTTTCCTTGTCATCAGTTTAGCTGTGTGTAGTATTAATAAGTCTTCATGTTCCTGGTACAGGTTTTATTTATATATTCCCGTTTTCCCTGATTTCTTGAAAAAATAAAAAAAAAATAAAAAAAAATATATATATATTTAAATAAATAATTTTTTATTAATTTATTTTTTCCCCCCAACATCTTTAGGTTTACTTCCGTTTCTCTCACCTTGTATGCGGTTACTGGTTGCTAACAGGTTGTTTATACTCTCTGCTTTGGTGGGATGAGCTAACCATCAACAGTTTGCCAATTAAAAAAAAAAAGTAAAAAAAAAATAAAATAATTTTAATAAAAATTCTGAGGTAATCCGGACTCTTGTGCTCTGCGGCAGTTCATGTCTGGGAGGCTGCCGCATGCTCACTAGCTATGCTAGGTGGTTATGCTCATCCCTAAGAAATAAAGTTTGCAGATCACAGTTTCCTGCAAGCTGTTGTCTTCAGCCTTTGCATGTCCTCTTCTAACTTAGGCCACATTTTCTGTGCCTGTCCAATCACAGTGAGGGGACACTTATCACACAAAGCACTTCAACAAAATGAAGTGATTTAGGAGTTAGGTGTATCCATTAAAAAACAAATTTTTTCACATTGCTCTAGCTATCACATTTCCTTTTCTTTTGTTTCTATTACCTCATTATTATCATGATAGATTATAAATAGTTTATGTATCCATACATAAAAAGCTAGGTAACAGATTAATTTAGCTCACAAGCCTTGCTTTGGTGTAAATGCAGTTTTAAATAGCAGGTTGTTGCTTTAGATACCTCATAGCTGTTCACAAAAAACAAACAAAATTAAAACCAAAATAAAAATGACAAACAGCTATTGAAAATAGTATAACTGATTTTTTTTATTCAAAGTAATTTTTTATTTTAGTAAAACAATGTACAAATTAAGTTTAAAGAGACTTCAGTGCCCAAATACAAAATAAAAACACTGCTTAATTGCATTCTTTCCATATCTAAATATGGTTTGCAAAACCTTGTCTGCATCATTTGAAAGCCCCCTTCTAAACACACCATGGCCATGTAGCTGCCTTGCAGATATCCTCTGGAAATGCCAAAGCTTTTTTAGCTCTCGAGGTTGCCATCGCTCTAGTGGAATGTGCTTTAACTTGAGATGTCACAGGGTGCCCGGTGATTTCATATGCTCTATTAGTGATCTCTGTTAAACATCTTGCAATTATGCATTTGGATGCTGCTTTATCCATATACGCATCCTGTAAATTGACCAAGATGTGATTAGAGGATCTGAATGCGGATGATCACATAAGGAAGATCTCCAAACCCCTTTTACAAGCAACAGGTGTAGCTTGGCTTCCTTAGATGAAGGAGATTCTCATACAGTGGGGAGAACAATCAGAGTTGATTGATGCTTGTTTTAGACAGAACTTTAGAAAAAAAAAAAAAAAAAAGACTGGGATGAATTACTACTTTATCCTGATGTAAGATAGTACTGTGCTTGTAGTTCATCTGTGTCTAGCAGCCATAATTGCCACCAGGAAAACAGTTTTCAAAGATAACTTTGTTAAAACCTCATGGGGTTCAAATGGGTGAATCAGTGAGATCCCAGGTGGGGGGGAGTGGGAGTTAAATAAAAAAGACTTAAGAGGAGGCCGTTGAAGTCAAATAGCTTTGAAAAATTTCCTGGTAAGGACATTGGAGGTCAAATCAAATAGGAAATGACTAGGCTCTGATACCTAGACTTTTAGGGTAGAAACACTGAAATCTACAGAGAAGTCATCTTGTAGAAAACGCAGAATGACTTGACTGGGAAGAGAAATACTCGACAATCACGTTCTTCGCACCTTAAGAGGAATTTCTCAGTTCTCAAATGCATTTTGCATGTAGATTTTCTTTTGTCTAATTTAGTAGTAGATCTAGCACAGGGTGCGACAAATTCCAGGTGCCATGCTGACTATGAATTTTGTTAGCACATTCAATACTGCATCGATACCTGCCAGTGGTGGAACTACAGTGGTTGCGGAGATTGTGTGTGCGACTGTGCCTGCCTGTCATGCAGGGTCCAATAGCTTGCCAGCTGGCAATGTCAACCCCCACCTCTCCCACTCCTGTCTGTTGTCATTATGACCCTGTCCATTTGGTGAAAGGATAGTCCAGAAAATCTGAATGAACGCACCTATTCAATACGTTCCAAATCTTTGCAGAAATGATGAATTCAGTACGTCTTCCTTTTCCTCTGAATGCAGGATTTCTCCATTGGAGAGGTCTCATTTGTGGCTTTTGCTCATTTTATTACTGGAATGGATGAAGTGAGAATTCCCAAAATACTCATAGCTTTTCTGATGGAATGCATTGTATTTGTCTTACGAACACAAATCTCTTTCCTGATTTTTTTGATGAGAGAAAGGGACCAAGAATCCACATGAGACATAGAAACAATTCATGATGTAGGGGATAGATTAAACATTTCCCAGTTAATCATCCATCCATGATCCAGCAATGTTGGAGTGTGTTTTGAATATTTGGAGTTGAAGACAAGAGGTTGTTGTGATAAACAAATCTGCTAGATAAGGGAAGACTGAAGTACGCCTTTCTCAAAGATAGAATTAAAAAAAAAAAAATTCTTGAGGCTGTAGATAGGCCATTCATGTCATCATGGCTTATTGCCATGACGACATGAAGGTAGCCATCTTTTAAGACTAAGGTGGCCCATGCTGTCTCCTTTGTGCAACATATGGGTGACTGATAAAATAGTCACCATCTGGAATCTTTGATACGGTATGCCTTTGTTCACATTCTATAAACGGAACACTACTGTGCCAGGAATACAATCATGTATTCCTAGTGTTGGAGTATAGGTTTTGGTGACAGTACCACCTCCTCAGAATTAAGTTAAAAAGTAGTTTCCTTAAAGTTTCTCCATCCTCGTGCTGGTACCTCCTCCATGGCCGAGATAATCTTAAATGATCTCAGCCAATCCAATTATTTTCTACAGGAAAGCATAGGAAGGCTATTGCGCATGTAAAGCAGAACTGAATAAATGCATCTCTATGGGGAGTGCTTAATGCCTCCATGGAGAGGCTGAACCTAGGCGTTGCACACTGCAGTACTGGAATAGGAAGCACTTCTAATGGCTGTCTGCATTTTCTCACTGCCTTGGGAGGCTATTGCACATGTGCAACAAAACACCACTTTTCCCAATCAGAATTTCCGTATATAGATGCATTGCATGGTTAACGTTCAGCATCTCCATGCAGAGCATGGAGACATTGAATACCAGTTCTGTAGTGCACACTGCAGAAGTTACACAGGAAGCACCTCTAGTGACAGTTTGAGTGACTACTACTAGAGGTAATTCCTAGGCAGTAATGTAAACATTGCATTTTCTTTGAAAAGTCAGCAGGAACATGATTTATACACCAGAACCACTATTATAAGCTGTAGTAGTTCTGGGCTCTTATTCTACAGAGATATCGTGAGATTGTTTAATTTATGTTCTTTTATGATTTATATAGGTTTTGCTGAGGTATTTTTCTGGTTTTATTTTGTCCTTCATGCACAATTGAGCACATACATTGTGGATGTTAGCGTCACCTCACTCTTCTTACTTATCTTTACTTTTTGTTAACTCTATATGCTATAGATGCATCCATCAGCTCGTCTGCGCTGTGCGGGACACTATTATAAAACCACTCAATCCTATGATTTTTGTAATTCTAACTCCTACAGTATGTGTGTGTTCTTTATGAGCATTTGCCATAAAGCTTGATAAATTTGCTGTATTGCTTGCCCCTTGCCCCATAAAACGCCGTACCGCAAAATCTACCCCAGTATGTGACAAGAGAAAGAAACAGACCAAATGTACTGCAAAAAAACATTTTTTAATAAAGAGGGAGGGAAGCCGTACTGCCACCTTACTAAGAAAAAAAAAAAAAAACAATAAACAGTAAGTAAAATTTCAGTTTTTTCTGTCATATGGTAGCAGTACCATTGGGATATGGCAAGATCCCCATCCAGGCGGGACTTAAGCCACGACGGCTTGTAACACCTTACGCCCAAAAGCTGCTTCAGAGGCAGAGAATATGTCTAGTCGATAGTGCTTGATAAAGGTGTTAAAAGATGACCAGCATGCTGCCTTGCAGATGACCTCTGGAGAAGCAAGTGCCCTTTCTGCCCATGAGGTGGCCATTGCTCGGGTGGAATGGGCCTTAAGCGTAACTGGAGCCTGAAGACCTGCTGTAGAGTACGCCAATTCTATAACTTGAATGGGCCACCGGGATAAAGTGCCGCGGGAAGCCACATTCCCCTTGAAGTGACCTTGAAAATTAACAAACAGGTGATCCGAAATTCTGAATTCTTTCGTTCTGACCAGGTATATAAATAAAGCTCTTCTGACGTCCAATTTCTGCCATTTGAGCTCCTGAGGAGATGAGGCTTCACTACAAAATGAAGGTAAAACAATCTGCTGATTAATATTCTTTGAAGACAAAACTTTAGGTATAAAAGACTGTCTTGGATGAAGAAAAACCTTGTCTTTGTTCATCCGAGGAGGACAGAGCGTGAAGTTCTCTCACTCTCTTAGCCGATGTGATGGCTACCAGGAATGAAACTTTAAACTTCTTCCAAAGGTTCAAAGGGATGAACACAAAGAGCTTGTAGGACCAGGGATGAATCCCAAGCTGGAAACACCGATCTTCTAGGAGGACGTTTGAGGCTGATGGACCTAAACAAAAAAAAAAAATCTTCTGATGAAAATATTGGAGGCCAAATCCTTAATTAGAAAAAAACGTAAGGCTGATATCTGAACTTTGAGCGTAGAGACTCCCAGACCAGCTGAAAATCCGTTTTGTAAAAAAATGGAGAATGTTATCTAGGGATGGATGTAAATCAAGGCACTGGTGTTCCCTATGCCAGTGAAGAAACTTAGACCAAATCCTAAAGTATATCTTAGACATAGACTTCCTGGTAACGTGAAGTAAGATAGCTATTCTGTCTTATTGAAAACCTTGGTTACGAAGGATTAGCCTTGCAGTAGCCAAGCCGTCAACCTGAATATTTTTAGAACTTCCCAGGGCAGGTTCCTGTTCACAATGAGGAAGTTTGATATGGGACGTTCCCAATGAGCGATGGTCATCTTCTTTAAAGCCGAAAACCAGACTGTTTGGCCAATATGGAATTAGTGCCAATACTCTTGCTCTGTCTGTTCTTATGAGAAGCACCTTTGGGATTAAAGGCAGAGGCGGAAACACGTAAGTCAGACTGAAGTTCCACTCTATCGATAGAGCATCTATCCATTTGGGTTGATCTGCTCTGAATAGGGAGGCAAAGCTGTAAATCTTTGTGTTCGATGCTCTTGCCATCAAATCTACTTCCGGAAATCCAAAACTTTCTGCCAGGATTCTGAATATTTCCAGGTTCAAAGACCATTCTTTTTGATCCCACTTCCCTCTGCTCAGATCATTGGCTATAACATTGTCGCTCCCTCTTATGTGGACTGCCGAAATGTCTTCCAGATATTTTTGAGACCACTCCATAATTTCTGCACAAAGAATGTAAAGATTCCTTACTTTGGTTCCTCCTTGGCGATTGATATAAGAGACTACTGTACGATTGTCTGATTGAATTTTCACCGCTTTTTGTTGTACCCAAGGCCTGAGGCGATGTAGAGCGTAAAGAACTGCTAGTAATTCCCTGAAGTTTGCGGATTCTTTAACCTCCCTGACTGACCATATTCCTTGGAACACGGTAGCTCCCCAACCTGTCTTTGAAGCATCTGTAGTGACTATTATCCAGTCTTTTGGACGGAAAGAAAATCCTCCTGAAAGGCACTCTGAGGTTTTCCACCAAGTAAGCGCAGTCTTTACTTGAGGGGATAACAAGAACCTTCTGTCTAAATCTTTCTCCTTTTTTGACCAAGTTGTCAGAATGTTCCATTGTAGAGGTCTGACCTTTGATCTTGCCTATTTGACTGCTAGAAAGGCAGCAATTAGAAGGGCCAATACACCCATGGCCTGTCTGAAGAAACAACTTTCCATCTTTTGGAAATTGGTAATCGCCTCTCGAATTTTCCTCCTTTTTAATTTGGGAAGATGAATTGACAGGGAGACTGAATTGATTCTGAATTCGAGAAACTCTATTTCTCTTGTTGGAACGAGAACTGACTTCTTTAAGTTCAAGATCCAACCGTGGTCTTGAAGAAATCTGATAGTGGCCTGCAAGTCTTTGAGCAGCTGCTCTTCTGTATGTGCCATGAGGAGCCAGTAGTCCAGATATGGGATAATCGATATTCCCAATTCCCTCAAATGAGCTGTCAGAGGAGTCAAGATTTTTGTAAATATCCTTTTGGCGGATGACAGACCAAACGGCAGAGCACTGAACTGGAAATGATCGGCGGATCTTCCTCTTTTTATGGCAAATCTTAGAAATTTCCTTGAAGTGGTAGCAATCGAAACATGCAGATAGGCATCCTTCAAGTCTATTTTTACCATAAAGTCGCCTCTTTGTAATCTTGAGTAAACTCCCCGAAATCTTTGCTTTTCTGGTACTCTCTCAATCACCCTTTTTTTGCAAAAGTAGCATGGTTTGAGAAAATAGGGCTTGTGATCTTTTTGAAGACGGTAAGTTGATACCAGACATTTTGCTCTTGCTTTCTCTGTGAATATAATCTTGTGTCCCTGCTGGATCTGACTTAGAACCCAGGGATTGCTTGTGGTTCTTTCCCATGCCTGGAAAAAACGTTGGAGTCTTCCTCCCACACTTCTGGTGTCAGAAACGTGTATCTTTATCTCTGACAAATCTTTTAACATCACCTCTTTGATCAAATCTCAGATTTTAATCCCTTTGGAAAAAAAAAAAAAAAAAATGCGGTCTCTCTTGATAGGATCTCCTGTATTTATACTGGTACTCCAGGAGAACTTCTTATCTTAAGGAAGAGCCTTTTTGGTTTATGACATTTGCTTAATAATTTCTTCTAAAGGAGCCCCAAAAAACTTTTCTCTAGTGGAAGCTCACAAAAGGACTGATTTGGAAGCTGAATCCGCCGTCCATGACCTTAACCATAAGTCTTGCTACCGATGACAATCACGTAATTCTGGATGCCAATTTAAGAACCTCCGACATATCCAACAGATATTCATTAGACAAGCGCATGTTCTGAAACATGTAACTAAGCTCCTTATCTTAGTCAGAAGATAAAATATCTAGTACCGTGTTTAACCAAATGCCATTTTCTCTGGCAACCACTGCCCCTGCCAGTAAAGCCTTGCATTGAAACCCGGCCGTCTGGTAAGCTCGCCTGCAAGAGGTTTCGGCTCTTTTATCCATTGGATTTTTTAAAGCCGAAGTTTACCCTATAGGAATAGTGGTCTTTTTAGCAATCTGAGCCACCTGGATATCTACTTTTAAGGAGATCTTCCCAGACTAATTCGCCAGCCAGTCTGAAGATATATTTAAAGTGTCTGGATATAAAGGCACGTTTCTCAGGGTTTCTCTATTCCTTAAATATTAGATCCACCAGGGTTTGTTGAACAGGAAACCCTTTTTTTAGGATTCTCCGGTAGTATCGCCAGGTTAACTTCCTTTATGAATTTACGGATTTCATTCGGAGGAAACCACACTGGTTCACTTGAGGATCCTGACCCATCTGAATCTATAGAGTAAAAACATTCCCCGGATGACGTCTCAAATGTAGATTATCTTTTCTTGATTCTCTGATGTCCTTGCTGTATAGAGGATTCCACCTTTTTGGACTCTTTAATAGTCTCCAAGGTCTGGGCCAGATTTTCTTGGAACCAGGTTAAGAAAGATTGCATATCTTTTTTCTTATCTCTTTCCAAGGAATTTGCAGTACACTGACTGCACACCTTCTTCCTTGATCCGTCTGTAAGAGGAGTTGCACACTCACTGCAAACTAGATGTTTTGATTTTGCCGTAGCCTTTGTAGGCATGGAGGCTGCCAGTGTTTCCTTGTCCATATCAGGATAAGCTGGGCTAGACATATCTGTGGAGACAATATAAATGGAGGCTTAAAATGTTTGATTTTCCTTATAAAATTTTCAGAGCATATTTTAAAGTAAAGATTTCTTTAATCTTACCTCAAAATACCTCTGAGCCGTGTGGGGGCAGCAGGTGACACGGCGTACCTCTTCTGACCTGCATCCATTTAGTCAGTGGGTACCTGCACAGCTCTCTATACACCTGCATTACAAATTTTCGCGGGAGGAGCAAAACCCAGTGGTACTGACAGAAAAAAAAAAAACTTTAGCCTAATGAAGCAGCTTAGGTGTATAGTTCCTGTCCCTGCAATCTAACTGCTCAATTCTCTGCCATTTCAGAGTTAAATCACAGTGTTTGAATTTTATAGTCAGTCTGATGTCACTGCGCAAGGAATGAAGTAGAAAGGACCATTGAAACAGAGGTTTTCAAACACTACCTGACCCACATTGCATGTATATGGCTGTATATAGACTAAACTAAGGGTGGAAGAAGCATGCAAATATAAATGCAGTGATAGAGGACGAGAGAGTTAAGGGGGTAACCCTTTAAAGCAGATGAAGGACAAAAGAGAAGAAGGTTCTATTGAAAAAAAAAAAAATGGCTGTATATACACTATAAAGATTTCTCATACATATATTTATATATTTTGTGTTAAAGTAAATTTCCTTTAAAAACTTGATGAAAGGATCATTAGATGCGTGGTTTGTGGTGTATATATTATGCCCCTGCTTTCTCATTGCTCAATTCTCTGCCAATTAGGAGTTCAAAAGAAAAATAAAAAAAATAAAAAGTTTATGCAACCCTGGTCACACCTACCTGCATGTGACCAACAAAGTGTCTACACATTTCCTGTTAAGAGATCTGATATTTAACCCCTTAAGGACAAAGCTTCAAAAGCTTATCTTACCCTTAAGGACACAAGCCATTTTTGCATGTTTTGTGGTTTGTGTTCAAACTATTTATTTATTGCACCAGCACATATTATATACCGTTTTTTAGAGGGCAAACAGGGCTTTAATTTTATGTCACATATACATATATAAATTCTCGTTAATAAAAATGCCCAAAAAAAAATGGGGGGGAGTGGGGGAAATAAAAAAAATTTCCCACAGTTTTGGTACTATTAGTGTGTGCATAATATGTCCAGCTTAGAAAAAGTAATTCAAAATAAACTCATTTATGTGTCTTGATTTATAGAGTACATACTACGTATGGGATTTCAGCTTATTTTGAAAGTTAAAGGTCACAAAATAAAACAACTAAAATACAATTTCAATGCAAAGCAATTTTAGAAGTTGGTATGTTTGTCTTGTAGGTTTAGTAGCAATCACAGAAAACAAAATTGCAACACAAAAGTATATATTTATATAAAGTTTAGGCTATTTACCTAAAGTTATTTGGACACTTTTTATGTAGCCATTCATAGCCAATCTCTGGTAAATATTGGAGTAAAATTGTGTTCTCTCTCTATTTTGGCATATACACATTTAACAAGGTTTGTGTAATGTGTATTTCGTAAAGCTGGTGTGTGCTATCCCTGTACAGAACCCCATATTGTGTTCAGCTACATCTGCCGAGTAGAAAGATAACCCCATTGTATGCCTATGGCACTATTCTGTGACGCTACAATGCCATATTAGAGACAAAGCTATTTCAGTTTCTATAGTTAGAATGGGGGGAGTGGAGGGGCCCATGGATCAGGTGTACGCCACTGCTTATACGGTGTATATTGTGCCTTAACTTGTCATTTTTTTCACCAATTTACATCAATGCACTTGAGCAGGTTACATTTTCCAACTACACCATATAAAAAGCATTCCATTTCTTAAAGAAGACATCCCAGGGTATTCCAAAAGGCACATCTTGAACCTTAACGTGGGATTATTTTTCCGCGCCTTGTACCAAGTGTAGTTGTAATAAGCATTTTTTCCTGTCTTTTTGACACACAAAGTGAGTTTGCACAGTATATTTTGCAAACCTTGCGTGCTACGACTGTATAATACTTCATGTATTGCTCAGCTATGTCGACTGAGTATAGCACTTCTCCCATATGTACCTTTAACAGGTATATGTGGATGTTGAAGAGGCACATCTGAGACACAGCCAGTTTTTTTCTAACTGAAGTTTTACGCTGTGTCCATGTTCCATTGTGGAGTAGTTTAGCTGGTTGGTTATTCAAACTTCCCCACAAACACATACTATTTATTAAAGAATACACCCTGGTGTAATTCAAAAGGGATATTTTGAACCTTTGCGTGGGATCATTTTTTTCCTAGTTTGTTCCAGGTGTAGTAGTAATGAGCATTTTTTTTAATGTATTTAACTTTATTAAAACAGTTTTTTTTTTTTTTTGAAATAATTCTTTATTTTTGTTGTGCTTAGAATTACAAACCTGCTTATACCGCCACGACAGCTGGTACAAGCCGTTGGAATAATACAAGATAAACAGTAGCATGGCAAGCATTAACAGCACAAATTGTATAGGTCAGGTTAGGTAGAACTGGCTATAACCTTAATTTCAACCAGGCTAATAGTTGTAGAGAGTCAGATAAACAGGTTAAGAAAGATCTGAAACATTCCAAGACTAATCATGGTTTAAGCCTATGAGGTTAGCTGAGCTTCTGGGGTTGAGTGAGTGTGTGAGCATAGGTATGGTGTCTATGCCTGTTGCCCTGTGCCCTTAGTGGAGCAAGTAAAGTTATCAGTGGCATAATAGCAAGAGATATGATGAGGCATTGCTATCTTACATGATTTGGAGTTGTGTGTGTGTATAAAGAGTTTTATACCTGAGGGTTTCCAGGCAGACGGGCTTTGCCTCGGCAAGTGAGTGGGTGACAGGCGGTCTGAGAGCTTTAGTAGTAAGGCATTGCACGTGTGTGAAACGCATATAATGAGATTGCTCACTAAATAAAAACGTTCATAACAGTGGGTTTCTTTGTAAAGTTCTGCGTTGCCTGTGTATCGCTGCTGAGGAGGTTGCTGTGCGGCATGGATAGCGTCCATTGCAGCAGAGGTTTTGAGTATGGACCTCTGTGAGTCCCAACTTGTGAGTTCACTTTTAACCTATGCCCAGCGCAGTGAGAGGTGACAGGTGTTTGGCAGTCCTGCTGGGGGATTGTTGGGTACAGAGTCACTGGTTCCAGCGATCGGTTTGCCAACCCGTCGTTGTGGAGGTCCGCTTTGATGGCGCAGGTAGGTGGAATCCCTCTTTGGCACTCTGGTGCTTTCTGCGGTGTCAGGTAAGTACAGAGCTGCGAGGGAAGCTTGCTAGTGTGTGTGGTCGCTTTATGGGTCTCTGCTTCAAACCAGTGCTTTGAAAGGCTTGTGGGCCACCTCGAGTTGGGATCTGTATGCAGTGCCGTCTTGCCTGTTTGAGCGCGGGCGGGCGGGGTCTCCTCCTGCGCCTTTTTGTGGGTCCCCTCAGGCAGAGGCCTGTGCATCTGCAGTGGGGACTTGCAAGTTCTCCGGAGGGTATGTGCGCTGGTGCCTTGGCTTGTTGCTCTCTGCTGGCCAGTTGCGCCCAGAAGGCGTCGAGTAGGGCATCGAGCTTGGTTAAGGTTTAGTACCTGTCTGTTTGGCGGTTGTGGTTACATGTGGCGTCATCCATCTTGCAGGCCTGTGTAGCAGAGGGCTGCCTGCGTGGCCCCGTTATCAGCGCTCGTCTTGGCTCTGCTGCCTGGAGAGTTTGGACCAGGATCACCCCCACCGGTCCTGAGGGGAGTGGGGGGGATGCTGGTGGTTTGGTGTCTCCGGCGTAGGAGCGAGGAGAGTGGCAGTCTACCCCCAGCTCCATCCGCCGCCTCGGTTACACGGTTGTGGGATGCACTCAGGTTTGGTATCGGGTAATTCACCGGAGGGCCCCCCGACGTGGGTAGCGTATCCCGGTGTCATTACAGGCTTGTAAACTGTTAGTTTTTCCCTTTGAGGCAGTTTGCTTGGCGGGAGCTTCACCATGCGACTGCTCCGCTTGCGGGTCAGGCCCCGCCCCTTATTAAAAGTTTTTATACTTTTTAAAACTCTTTTAAACTTTTTTTTTTTTAAACTAACCTTTTACACTTAACATTTATAGACTTTATCGTTAACCCCTAACTAGCAGTAAGCAGTACTAACCGTAAGTTCCTCAATTTCCCATAACTCCCACCCCAGCTACCAAAATATAGGATTTCAAAATATGTAAATTAAATAAATTGATGGGGTAAAAAAAATAAATAAAAAAAATTAGATCACAGTTTAATACTGTGATCTGTATTTTGATCACTGTAGGTAATGACCAACTGGCATGGGTGAAGTTAATTTTTATTTGTACTAGGTAAAGGGGGTATGATGTTTTTAAACTTTTTACGTTAACCCCTAGCTAGCCTAACACCAAATTCACCAATTCTCCACTAACTTCCACCCACCCCAGCTAGCTAAATATATACTTTAAAATATTTAAATAAAATAAACGTAACCCCTGAGGAATTAAAAAAAAAAAAAAAACCCTCGATCAGTTGCTCCCGGTCTGCCTCAAATACAAAAGGTAGACCGGGGGAGCATTAACCCCGCAATTGCTGTGATCTGAGGTAAACTTTAGTAAATGACGGAAATTTTCCGTCAAGGGTCCGGACAAGCTTGACGGAAAAATTTCAGTCTTTGGTCAGGAAGGGGTTAAATCATCTTTATTGCACAGCTTGCTTATTTTTAATTTCATATTGCCAGCAAGACCCTTGTCTGTGACTAAAGTTCAATTTACAGAGAACGATATTTTTTTTCCATATTCTTTATTGTTGTAGTGCAGTAAAAATTACAAGAGTAGGAATTGACATATGGTATACATGTGAACAGTAATTGGAGATAAGCACAATAAGTAATATGTCAAGAGAGGCTACACTTTTTTGGTAAAAGAATTGTAAAAAATTAATATCGTTATGTCAAGTCAATGAACATAGTCAGATCTAAAACATTAAAAGAGAAACATAGATAAGACAAGAGAAATAAGGCTGTATTGAATGACTTTTTGCTTAAGAAATACCACTTGGTATGGAAATAAACATGAAAGAATGGGTAGCCTATAACTCTGCATATAAGAAGCTGCATCTGGTTGGAGATAAAGATATTTTAAATCCAGTCAAAAATTCTAATGAAACCATTTGCCAAAGGAAGGTTGGCTATTACTGCATAAAAAAAGACAAAAAAAAAAAAAGAAAGTGATTTTACAGGGACACTATAGTTGTACTGTGTTTACTACATTCGGAGGGGCCAGTCACCTAAAAATGTACTCCAGCACTATACTGTTCAGAATACAAGTTTGTATTCCTAACACTATTTTGTTCCTTTAAATTCCAAATGGCAGAGAATTGAACAGTGAGCAGGATCTATACACCAAAACAGTTTCATTAAGCTATAGTTGTTTTAGTGCTTTAGGTTGAATACAGCACTGTCAAATTAGTTGGAAGTATATAAAAATAATGACTGAACAAATGGCTGATCTTTCTAAACAATTACATTTACTGAGAATATAGGCAGCTGTAGATTTATTATACATCCAACATTTATTTTAAAAAGTATTAGGGAATCACTATGAACAGTGCCACTAACTACTCTGATTTTTTACAATGAGGTTTTTTTTTTTTTAATGTCATTCAAAGCAGCAAAGTACATATTGTAAGAGGAGCCGTCATTTCCCAAGACATGTATTATTGTGTTTACTTATCTGAATTGCATTCCCAGATACTGTTATGCTTTTGTTCCTTTTCGCTTGTAAAAATTATTGAGGAGTGGGGGTGAGGAAATATATAAATAAAAATTAAATGTTTAATGAAAGGTTTAATATTAGACAAACTGTTTAGCAAAAAATTTCAGACGATACAAAAATACAGTTTTTATTCTACTGGATGCACACATTCTGGCAAAATACCAATGGTCATTTGGTCAATGGTTCAATCATCAATTCTACCCAAAGATTTTCTACTTATTTATCACTGAAAGGGACCGTCCAGATCCATAATGTACTTTTAGCTTGCTGACATGCTCTGTGTGTGAAGAGCGTGTCCCCATTCCCCCTACTTGGAACTTTTACAAATTAACATTGTTACACTACCTTAGCTGTGAGACAACCGGTTGCTGTGTGCGTGGGGTGGGGAGCTTTTGCAAGCAGTTTTTGTCCCAATAATAAAAAAATACATAATCAAATGCATGCTTTTTTTTTTTTTTAGTTATACCTACTACACAGTCATTTAAATTTGTTTGGGCAGTGGTGTGGCCCTGTAGTAACAGTATGTGTTGGGGTAGGTTTTTCAATTTTCTACATTTTAGCTAACATTTGCCATGTTTGAAGCTAAACCAGAGAATAGCAATAAGAACGGTACTGGCAATAAAGACGGGATTGTATAGGAAGAATTAAGAAGATATGAGGGACATTTCAGATACATTGAAATTAGTACGAATCAAAAGTAGGAAAATTGGATATAATGTATCACACTGGGTCACGAAATGTGATTTCTTAATGTAAAAATGTCAGTTTGTTAAAATAACTGTTAAAGGTTGAGGTGTAGACAGCAGTAAAATAAGCTGCAAAATAGAAGGAAGTGGTGGTTATACATGCAAGCATTAATATGCTTTATTAATCATGTTAGACTTAAAGGACCACTATAGTGCCAGGAAAACAGTTGTTTTCCTGGCACTATAGTGCCCTGAGGGTGCCCCCACCCTCAGGGACTCCCTCCCGCCCGGCTCTGGAAGGGGGAAAGGGGTTAAAACTTACCTTTTTCCAGCGCTGGGCGGGGAGCTCTCCTCCGATCCTCCTTCTCTCCTCCCCGTCGGCTGAATGCGCACGCGCGGCAAGAGCTGCGCACATTCAGTCCGTCGCATAGGAAAGCATTTACAATGCTTTCCTATGGACGCTGGCGTGCTCTCACTGTGAAAATCACAGTGAGAAGCACGCAAGCGCCTCTAGTGGCTGTCAATGAGACAGCCACTAGAGGATTGGGGGGAAGGCTTAACCCATTCATAAACATAGCAGTTTCTCTGAAACGGCTATGTTTATGAAAAAATGGGTTAACCCTAGCTGGACCAGGCACCCAGACCACTTCATTAAGCTGAAGTGGTCTGGGTGGTTAGAGTGGACCTTTAAGAGAACAACCAGGGACAAAATATCATAAGTACAAGTCTGTATGAGAGGTCCACCAAATCTAGGCTGAAATTCTACTTCACCAGTGGGAACATTTATTTGGTATTTATAGTAACTACACCAGAAAGGCCAGTTAAAAATGTAGACTTAAGCTGCGGGTGTGAGAGGCCAACTTCCATTACAGAATATTTCTGTACTAGCTATGATATGACAGCTACAGAACATTTACATCCTCTACAAATTATCTACTTTCTATATAGACCTCCATCCAACCTCTCTCAATGGCTCCTATCATGCCATTTCATGAGCTCTTTTCTAACAGCTATAGAGTAAGCCTCACATCACACACCTATGTACAACTTCTACTCCCTGTAGAGTCTAACCTCTAGAGATTCCAATCTCTGTAGAAGAGGGATATTAAATGCCATTTGTCTCAACCATAATTGGATTTAACCCCTTAAATCCGCAGCCAAATGTACAAGTTGTGATCAAAACAAAACGTAAACAAAACCTGGCATTTGCGCTATATGTCTGTCCAACCGTAATTCACCTCTTTCATATTAAATGCACCCACACCTATTATATGTCATTTTAATCAGGGGAAACAGGGCTTTCATTTAACATAATTTAATATGAATAAAATATTTTTTTAAAAATGGGAGAAAATATATATTTTTTTTTTTTACATTTTCTTAGTTCTACGTGACATTTCTACTGTGAATGTCAAAATACTGTTTGCTTTTCCTGCAATAATACACACATTTGTATTCAGCAATGTCTCACGTGTAAAACAATACCCCCTATGTACAGGTTTTATGGTGTTTTGGGAAGTTACAGGGTCAAATATAGCGTGTTACATTTTTCAGTTTTTTCACACTTAAATTCACCAGATTGGTTAGTTTGCCTTTAAGACCGTATGGCAGCCAAGGAATGAGAATTACCCCCATGATGGCATACCATTTGCAAAAGTAGACAACCCAAGGTATTGCAAATGGGGTATGTCCAGTCTTTTTTAGCAGTCACTTGGTCACAAACACTGGCCAAAGTTAGTGTTAATATTTGAAAATGCAAAAAACTAATTTGAATGCCAATTTTGACCAGTGTTTGTGACCAAGTGGCTACTAAAAAAGACTGGACATACTCCATTTGCAATACCTTGGGTTGTCTACTTTTGCAAATGGTATGCCATCATGGGGGTAATGCTCATTCCTGGGTCTTAAAGGCAACCTAACGAATTTCAATGTGAAAAATCTGAAACGCAAGCCTTATATTGGATTATGTAACCTTTGAAAACACCATAAAACCTGTACATGAGGGGTACTGTTATACGCGAGAGACTTTGACGAACACAAATATTAGTGTTTCAAAACAGTAAAACGTATCACAACAATATCGTCAGTGTAAGTGCCATTTGTGTGTGAAAAACGCAAAAAAAGGTCACTTCCACTGACGATATCGTCGTAATAAATTTTACTGTTCTGAAACACTAATATTTGTGTTCAGTGAATTCTTCCGAGTAAAACAGTACCCCCATGTACAGGTTTTATGGCGTCTTGGAAAGTTATAGGGCTAAATATAGTGCTAGCAAATTAAATTCCCTGAACTTTCGGCCTGGGTTGTCCTGCAAATTGTAATTAATAAAATGACCTAATTATGTAAAATTATTACATACATACATATATATATATACACACACACACATATATACACACACACACAATTTTTTAAAATTATTTTTATTTATATATAGGTATATATACGTATATAGATATTATGTTCTACATGTATTTTGATATCTATATATTAATTTTAAAATACAGTTAGAACGAAGTTACACATGTATAATACATACACACCGGGTAAGTACATAAGATCGCAGGGCGTTCTATGCCGCTTCCTTAACGACGGCATAGAACGCCCTGCGGTCTTAAGGGGTTAAAGGACCACTATAGGCACCCAGACCACTTTAGCTTAATGAAGTGGTCTGGGTGCCAGGTCCAGCTAGGGTTAACCCTTTTTTCTATAAACATAGCAGTTTCAGAGAAACTGCTATGTTTATATTAGGGTTAATCGAGCCTCTAGTGGCTGTCTCATCGACAGCCGCTTGAGTGCTTCTCACTGTGATTTTCACAGTGAGAAGACGCCAGCGTCCATAGGAAAGCATTGAGAATGCTTTCCTATGGATTGGCTGAATGCGTGCGCAGCTCTTACTGCGCATGCAGCCGAGGAGGAGGAGAGCTCCCCGCCCGGCGCTGGAGAAAGAGATAAGTTTAACCCCTTCCTCACCCTAGAGCTCGGCAGGGGAAGGGGTCCCTAGTGCCAGGAAAACGAGTATGTTTTCCTGACACTATAGTGGCCCTTCAACTTTTGAGAATACCCCAAAAAATAACATTGATCCAAATTGTGAGTAACAAAACCAATCTACAGGTGATACCTAGACACCGTAGAAATTAACCCCTTAAGGACGGCAGGCGTGCTATGCCATCCTTGGGGACCCAGCTCTAAACGCCGGCGGGTAGGATAGTATGTCCCCCGCCGTCCGGGCCACTTACCTTCTGTGGCGATCACGATGGAGGGGGACTTGCCTGGCATCCCAGGGAGTCCCACTGCATCTGATCGGGCCCTCATGGGCCATGTGATCGCGAGGACCTCACGATCACATGGACGGAATAGCCATCCATAGCAGTGCCAGCAGAGAGAGTGCCTAGAAGACAACACATGGTATTGCAAATGGGGTATATCCAGTCTTTTTAATAGCCACTTAGTCAAACACTAGCCAAAGTTATTGTTAAAATTTGTGTGTGAAAAATGAAAAAAAAATTATTTTAACCCCAATTATAGCCAGTTTTTGTGACTAAGTGACTACTACTAAAAAAGACTGGACACACCATATTGAATACCTTGGGTTGTCTACTATTGCAAATGGTATACCATCATGGGGGTAATTAGCATTCCTGGGATACCATATGGTCTCAAAGGCAACATAACCAATCTGGAGTATTTCAAATGTGAAAAAAAAAAAAAAAAATTTAACTAACTTCCCAAAACACCATAAAACCTGTACATAGGGGATACTGTTTTACACGTGAGACATCAGTGAATAAAAATGTGCATTATAGTAAAAGCAAAGTCTTAAGACATTCACAATTAAAATGTCATGCAGAACTTAAGAAAAAAAAAAGTCTTAATTTTTCAATTTTTTTTTATATTTTATTCATATTAAGTTAGGTTTCATAGCTAAATATTTGATGTTAATGAAATGAAAACCTATTTCTCCTGAATAAAATGATCTGTAATAGACGTGGGTGCACTTAATATGAAAGAGGTGAATTATGGCTCATACAAGTTTTGTTTCAGTTTTATTTTGATACAGTAGTAACTATTGTTCGAATGTTGATCTGTAGTTGGCCGATTCAGCTTAAAGGAACCAAGTCTCTATATGGGTTGATTGAAGCACCCTTTTCTGTCGGAGTAGCCAACAATGGAACCAGAATCTTTGTAAAAAATCCTTGGTGCTGAAAGGCAGGGCCCTGAATTGGACATGCAGAATATTCCTCCCTGATTTGATTGCAAATCTCATCTTGAGGCGGCTGTAATGGGCATGTAAATAGGCATCTTTCAAATCAAGAGTCACCATATAGTCTTTTTGTAGTATGTGGATGACAAAATAAAATGGTCTTCAAAGGAAACCTTAGGCATTGAATGCAACTGTTTTGTTTACCCTCTTTAGATCTATTACAGGACAAAATGAAAGGTCTTGTTTAGTAACAAAAACAAAGGGTGGGAGGGGAAAATTTTGGAACCTTTAAGAGAACTCATTTTCTTAAAAAGTATCAGATTTTGATAGTAGCACATCTTGTTTTAATGGTGATGGGCAGCAAGAAACTAAGAATACTGGTGCATATCTTTCCAAAAAACTTTATTTGTACCAGTCTACTATTGTGCTTAAAAATCCATGGATTTGTAATGTGTTTACATGCATGCTTGTACAATTCTATATACAATATTGGGATTCAGCTTAACATCCACAATTGAATAAACAGCAATGTAAATCGGCACCAGCTGGAGGCGTAGGCAGAAAACTAGGACGAATTTGTCTATGAAAGAAGAGGAGAAGAAACACCCACTGAGCCACCAATGACAGAGTAGCCCTATTTAAATGACTTTGGGGAGAGGTGTTAGGCTTCATACTCACCTTAAGGTGATTTGTATTTTTATGCTTTGATCTTTTCATTGCGTTCCTGAGGAAGTCCACAGTAGTGGAGTAAAGGTGTTTGACCAATTTTAACTTATTTACTTTTATAGATTTATCGTAGGCTGATTTTTATGCAATATATCATTTTAAAATATTGCGAGCAGTTTTTGCATCCAGTTGCTAAAACCATGCAAGTGTTGGAAAACAGGCAAAGAAGGCGATAGCTCCCGACCCTTAGCCAGGGGAGGCAACTTAAGGTGCAAAAACTTCAGCCTGTAAGTGCAAACGTAGAGCTCATTTTATTTTGATATACTTTACTATGTGCTGTTTACGCCTTTGTAAATGCTTAGATGAATCACAATATTGTGTATATATTTGCAGATAAAAAGGGGTGGAGAGTTGGGAAAACAGCATCATTTAAACAGAAGTTGCTGTGTGTGGTGTGTCACATTAATTAAGCGACACAAAGGTGTAATACGGAATTATTTTGTTTTCCTATGCTTGAACAAACTGCAGTCTTCCTCCCACTCTTCTAGTGTCAAAACTTCCTCTGTCTTATCTTGTCTGTTGGTCTCCTCGTAACTGCACTTCGTGTATATTTGGTCTATGAAAATTGCGAGATCGGTCATGATATTGAAATGATCTTTCCTGAATTGGATGCTCCTATTCAATCGATTTCTCGTCTTGTGGCAGTCTTCTTTGTTTAATGAGGTCTTCTAAAGGAGAACAGCCCATTTCTTTAGAAAGGTAATTTGCACAATGCTGATTTAGATGCTGTATCTTCCATCCATGACCTGAGCCATAAAGCCCTTCTTGCAACGGATAAACCCATAACAAGAGCAGAAAAGCTTGAGTACTTCCCTAGACATATCAAAAATTAAATTTGCCAGTCAGATGCTATTAAGCAGATATGAAAAGTCTTACTCTGATCCTTCCGAAATACAATCTTACAGTGATTGTAGCCATATAATTTAGCAACTGATGCCCCAGCCATAGCCGTTTTGCACTGAATACCTGCCCTTTGAAAAACTCTTCTGCGAGAGGTCTCTGCCCGTTTATTGGGTCTTTTAGAATTGCTACTTTGCCAATAGAGTCTTTTTCTAGAGTTGAGCCACATTAGGTGGTAAGTCCCATTTCTGCATCCTAAGGTTTGAATATTTAAATTGTCTGGAAATGAATATCATTTTCTCAGGGTTTTCCATTCACACTGCACCAATTCCTTTTAGAAGTTTCACCTTCCTGCAAAATAGCTGCAACCTCTTTGATAAACGTATTTAGTTCTTCCGGTGGAAATCCTTAAATCCCCCCTAAATTGGCTGGAGATAGGATATACAGATGAGTTAGCAATCACCAGATGAGAAGTCAGAATGAGAAGAGGACCTGTATCTCGTCTCTTTACAGATAGATACTGACTAATAAGTTTTCAAATGTCAGAGAGACATTAGAAAAGATTGTTTCTCCTCTTGCTTGATCTTTTCCATGAATTCGGCGGAAGAGTGGATGGACGTCTTTCTTGCATCCTTCTCGAAGCATCTGGCATAGCGTACTCGTTACAGTGCATATGCTTAAACTTATATGAAGCTTTTTTGGTGCAGAGTTGTGCATTTTCTCTTTTTCTAGTTCGTCTGGTGAGGCAGGGTTTGACATCTGGATTATTTAAATATATAGATTGTAAAAACAAAAAGCATAAAAAATAATGCCAGAAGCCTTTGGCCTCATAACCGTGTGGGAGGTCTGGTGAAACAGTAGACCTATTCTGACATGCACCCTTGCTATCAGATAGATCAGAAAGCTTAAAGATGTTTTAACAAATTGTCAAATTTCACACCAGAATTGAAATTTCGAATGTTTAATTGGAAATCGGTGGAAGGAAGGCTCAGCTCTTGCCCAATGACTGGAGTACCACCCAGGACTCCTCTGCATTAAAAAAAAAAAAAAAAAAAACCGTTTAATAAAAAAAAGCCAGAAAACGCACTTAACACCGTTCAGCTTACCACCCAGGGAGCTATAACAATGCCTGCCCAAGCAACAACCCATCCGTCTCATCAGCGGGACCAGAAAGAACTGAGGTAACTTTGGGAATAGCAGCATTTAAGGCATGACTGGTAAACTTGTTAAGATTTTTCACAGGGTTACTTGTAGAGCACTAGAAATTTCATCCCCACTTGTAATTCAAGTATTTTAAAGGGACACTATAGTCATCCAGACCACTTCAATTAAGTGGTCTGGGTGCCAGGTCCCCCCGGTTTTAACCCTTCAGATGTCAACATAACAGTTTCAGAGAAACTGTTATGTTTACATTGCAGGGTTAATCCAGCCTCTAGTGGCTGTCTTCCTGACAGCCACTAGAGGTGCTTCTGCGACGCTGGAAATACGAAAAATCGCATCCAGCGTGCAGAACGTCCATAGGAAAGCATTGAGAAATGCTTTCCTATGGACGGTTTGAATGCGCACGCAGCTCTTGACGCGCATTCGGCTCCTCTCGGAACCTGACTTTGGCGGGGGAGGAGAGGTCAACAGCGCCAAGGGAGCCAGGCGCTGGATTAAGGCAAGCTGCTGAAGGGGTTTTAACCCCTTCAGCCCAGCGGGAGGGGGACCCTGAGGGTGGGGGGGACCCTTAGGATTGTATAGTGTCAGGAAAACTGGTTTTTTTTCCTGACACTATAGTGATCCTTTAAGGAAAAATACACTTAAACGTTACTTTTCAGGACACCAAAAATATTTAGCAAACTGCTTAGTAGTCAAGTGGTTAAGCATACTTCACAATTTCCTCTGAAAACAATTTTACTAAGTAATAAAATTGCCATGAAGAGCAATAATATATTGAACTGCATGGGATGGCATACTAACACAAGACATTCAGAGAAGTCTAATGATGGCACTAGTTTAGGATTACCATGGTTGTTATAAGAATGATTTAAGAATACATTTGGTGTTAGTTTATGCCATGCAAGTGAGGGTAAATTGCTAAAAATCCAGCAGCTTAGCACTATTAACTACTAGCACTGAAAGATGTTCTCGGTTCATTAAAGGCCATGTTTGCTATATTTTTCCATAAACACTGTTAAATGAATACTATAGTCTTAGTAATACAATTCTGTCAACGCTTCCCTATGGGGAAGGCCCAATGCGCGCAATGCTTGCTGCATGTTCCCAGATTGCACAGACATCGGAAGATTTGGACCTAAGGATCTCTGTGCTGGAATCAGGTGTTTAAAGTGTTTTTAATCCTTTCAGGGTTGGGGGGTGAAGGGGCATGAAGGCAGAGGGACAATTTTGTGTTAGGAATAGTTTTGTATTGCTAACACTAATGTTCCTTTACCACAAATAAGTTATCTAGATAACTAAACTGTTCCTTTAAGGGTGAATTCTATCTAGACTGGAGGAAAAAACAAAAAAAAAAAACAAACGCATTATAGTTGGAAAAGCAAAGACACTTTAGGGTATCTGGAACACACTAGTATCACTGTCTTTTGTATTTGATCACAGTTGACCATCTTCTGACTGATCTATCTTAGCTAGGAGTTTCAATCCACAGAAGTATTATATGAGTAAATGGCAAATAGATATTTGCCACGACAGACTGTCTGGGTTCAGTCAACACCTCCAAGAAAATCCTTAATTTCTTATTTTATTTGTTCTGGAACCCTTGGACAAGTTACAGATCTTTGAAGAAGGTCAACTCAAGGTTATGCATCAGTCAAATTTTATTAAACCCAGTAATGTCGAAGACAAAAATGATTTAGACCAATTTATTTCTTATAATGGGTGAGATGTTCTTGAACAGACTTCTGCAACCTTGTTTTGCAAGATCTTGTAGAATTAGATCCAGATGGTGGAATATCCCACTTGACCCTGTCTTTAGATGCTGAAAAGGCATTTGACAGTGTTGGGTGGTGTTTCCTCAGAGAAGTCTTGAATGTATTTGGGTTTCATGGATGGATATTGGAGGCCATTATGGCCCTGGTCCAACAGCCAGAGAACTCTGGGCCCGCTCTACCCGATTCTATATGTTCAGTCATTGGAACCGCTGGCCTCTCAGATCAGAGAAAATAAAAAGATTAAAGGGTTCAGTACAAAATACGGCGAACTGAAACTGAATGCGGACAATGTGATAGTGACCTTAGTGGATCCCCAAAACTCCTTAGAAGAAACGATTAAGGTGTTAGAACCATTCTCGGAGGGGTCTGGCTATATGCTTAATTTTAATAAAACCACAGCTCTAATAACTATCACAGTTCAAACTAAAGAGGTCTTAAAAGCCAAGTATAAATTTGACTGGGCATCAAGAATGAAATATTTGGGTATAGTGATATGCTCTGATGCAAATATTATAATGGAAGCAAATTTCCTCCCTCTCCTCAAACGACTAAACAGTTAAAAGACCGGGGAAAGTTGGAATTCTCATTTTGGAGAAGAATAAATATTTTAAGATCATATGTTCTCCCGAGATGGTTATACCTTCTCCGGATGGTACCCCTTTCAGTTCCAAGCAGCTGGCTTTCTATGATTCAAGCGTCATTTAGGAATTTTGTTTGGCGTAGTAAAAAAAAAAAATCAAGGCTAAAATTGAAACCTGCACAAGGTGGTCTTTCTATGCAAGATATACAGGAATATCGTAACACAAGCATGTTGATGCATGCATGTATTACACAAAAGGAATAGTCAAAGGAAGAAAACTGGTACAAGGTGGAAAAAGACCTAACAAAACATAAAGACTTAGGGTTTGAATTTTGGACAACAGAAGGTACGAAAATGTCTAAAGTTAAAAATTGTTTAATCCTGGATCATATTTTGACTAATTGGCAGAAATTTAGGAAGAAAATGAAGCTAAATAAATTCTTAAACACTTCCTTAGAAAATTTAGTAAACAATATAAAATATACAAATCTCGATAAATGGTATAGAAGTGGTTTAAGAACAAATGATTTATTAGAGGACAAATGTATTAAAACAATGAGAGAAATAGAAGCACAAGAACTTCGAGAAATTTTTAATTATCTACAAATAAAAGGATATATCACCAACCACTTATGTCTAGAACCTAAAGAGATAAAGACCGAGGTAAAAGGCATGCTAGTTTTATGTAAAGAACTATTAAAAGATTGCGGGGAAAAAACAAGTTCAATTAGGGTTGTTGAGAAATGGGAAAGAGACAATCTAAAACTATCCAAAAGGACTTAAAAAGGAGCATTCCAGAAAGTATGTAAATCAGATGTCTAAACTTGACAGAGGTGCAATTTAAACTCAACCGTATTTATTTGGTTCCAAGCCTTCTCAACAGGATGTGGTCTGGCCATACTGATAGGTGTTGGAGATGTGAAACACAAAAAGGCGATTTATTACATATTTGGTGGAAGTGTGAACCGATTCCAAGGTTTTTGGGACAGATATGGGATAAAATCCAAGTAATTAGTAAGATTAAACTTCCACAAAAACCCGAAACTTATCTACTACATCTAAATCTTTCAAAAATGTCCAGAGTATGCAGAGTATGACACAGTAGTACGTCTTGTTAGCAGTAAAGATCACAATAGCCAGAAAATTGAAATGTTTATACCACCATTGTGGATCGAAGTTAAGAACCAACTCCTCTTCCAATTAAATATGGAAAAGGGAATAGATAGGCATCAAAATTATACCCAGAAAAGGAATCATAATTGGATCTATGGATAAAATTGATCCCTTTGTCAGCATGATGATAAATAACCCAAGGATTAGTCAAGAAGATATTTAACCTCTAGGAGCTGTCCTGCCGGACATATATATGTTGTTCTATATGTAACCCCGCTTAACAAAATGAGAATGTCATAATATGAATGGGAGGTTTTATAATAGGGGAGAAGAATTTTATACAAGTATATAAGTGTATGTATATTATGGAGTTTATGTCTTGTATAGTTATGTTTTTGTTTTGGGAAAAAAAAAATTAAAAACCACAAAGAAAATGAAGAATAAAATAAATGAAAAAAAAAAATAAAAAAAATAGATCCAGGTAAAGTATGACCCTTAAATATGTGAGCTATGCAGGTTTACTGCCAGAGCCTGTGTCAAAACAGAGGTCTGAAATACCAAATAAAAAATATAGCAGTTTTAGTAAACCATGCAAACACCACGGATATCAAGTATAAGTGATAAATTCACTGTAATTATCAATAGGAAACTTGAATATTTCTTGTAGTGGGGACCCACAATAGCACACAAACAGAGGGAAAAAGGTATGATGTAGTGAAAGGAGATAGAGCCTCCAGGCATTTTAGAGAAACACCCAACACTGGATGTAAAAAGAAATATATATGGCCTCAGGATAAACCTCATCAACATGTGACCCAAACAGGTTCTAATTTTGGAATAAGTCAATGCTGCCAAACCAGGAATGTAAACATACATTAAGAAACAATGAAATATACAGTGAGCAATAAAAAAAATTGATAATAGTGTTTGTGTCAAGTCAATCTAGGAGAGAAAACTGCACTTTATATAGATCTTCATGTGTCATGTCATAGATGAACTCTTGCATTTCATGATCTGAAACAGTGGCTCATTCAACCAAAGGCATACTCATGCCATGCATGAATTTCCCTTATGGTGAAATGGGCCAAAACCACACCATGCAGCAGGGAGAGACAAAAACAGTTGCTGCAATAAGAGATATTTAAAAAGGAAAGCCAACATTATACAAGATGCATATATCAGGCCATACGGTTTATAAAACATATCACTAATTCCAGGACGGAATGAATGTGGCCAATCATGCATTTGCTTTATATGAGAGAGATAGAAATATATGTGTTTTGTAAATATATATATTTATTAAGTTATTTTTATTATTACTACACCAGGTTTTTGTTTCTCTAAAACTGACATCTGTACATTCAATTAGTAAACAGTGTCACAGTTTCTTACCCAATGAGTTTCAAAGCTACACTAGACTTTGTTTATTTGGTTACTGGAGCACATGTCATATGCAAACAGGATTGTTACGTTTTTTCTGTGTCTGTAAGCAATGTAGTATGGGTACTTATATCAATTTAACCCCAGTGATTCCAATTGTATTACTCTATTCTCTGCAAATCAAATGACAGCTCACAGAACATATGATTCAATGCTAAAGAGTTAGGAAACAATGAATTCCACAAACTGAACTTATCTCAATAGGTTAACTAAAATTACAACCCAAGCAACTACATACTATTAAAATATCTGAATAACAAATCTCTCATAAGGACACATCTTCACAAAAGAACAATGCTGAATAAAATGTTACCAAGTATGAACAAGACAAAACCAAAACATTGTGAAAGCCAACAATTAAAAGATTTGTGGGTTAGACAAACAATTATATTTGCGAAAACAAAGAATAAGCAATGTCCATCTCTTAAAATGAGGGGCGAATAGATCAACATTAGGGGTGAGGCAGACCTACACCTATGTGTGCTATAAAACCCAGACAGCAAGTTCACCAATTTAAAAGTAATTTACTATTGTCTAATTATAGCAGTGCAAGATTTGCTGACACTAGAAAAAAAAACAAATGTGATCAATATGATATATATATATATATATATCTCACACCATGTCACATAACAGGTGGCAAAAGGTTAATGCCCCCAGCTGTTGTGGAAATACAACTTCCATGCTGCCTTGCCAGCCCTTAACCTGGCAAAGCATTATGGGAGTTTTAGTTCCAACAGCTGGGAATGTGCCTTTTTCACCTCTGAGGAATAGTACAGTGAATTTCAGTCACCCCAGCCTCATCATCTGCATGGAGAGGCCTAGACCAAAGAGCTTACAATCACCCTGCTACAAAGTCTCCCACCACAGGTCAGCTTATTATAAAGTAGGAGGTGCAGATTACTCTGTAGGTCACTTTTAGCCAACCAGTGGTACAACAAATGGTGACAACTACATTTCCCAAAATGCTCAGTCAGAATAGGGGGGCACTCTTGCTGTCCAGGACTACGTTTCCCGAGATGCACAAAAAAAAACCAAAAACATAAAGGGGAGAGATACGTGATTCAAGCACATCTGGATCACAAATGGTTGGCTGGGCATCATGTGAAACGTAGTCCACAACAGTTTTAGTGCCCACAGCTGGCTAAGCATGATGGGAAAGGTAGTACGTTGCAGCAGGAGTGCCCATGATGGGAAATGTAGTGCAGCACGAGTCATGGCTAGAATAGGAGACAGCTGGGCCGCAGAGCTGACAATCTAATGTGGACTTGTGATTGCAATGCCAGCTCCTCAGTGACAATAAAAAGGGGGGGGGGGGTGGAGGAGGGGCTGGCAGGATAGAGCCCACCTCCCCCGGTGTGTGTGTGTGGGGGGGGAGCCCAGCCCCCTCTCCCTCCCTCGGCCCCCCTCCCCCCGGGCCGGTGTGAGCAGCGGGTGGCGGGAAGCTGCCAGTCCCCTCCTCCAGCCCCCCCCCCTCCTCCCCGGGGCCCCCAGGCTCACCTCACATCCCGGGCCCCGCTCCCGATCCTCCCGGGCTCCGAGCGGGCACACGTACTGCCAGCGAGAGGGCACAATGGATCCGGCGGTAGGGGGTTAATACCCCGGCCCAGGCCCCGGGCCGCCGCCGCTCAGCCCTGGCGGGAATCCCCGATCGATGGGCGGCTATTATTAATGTGTAGTGAGGGTGCTGGCGGGGGGTCCGCCAAATATCAAATAATAATAATAATAGCAATAATAATAATCCCCGGGCCGCGCCTGGCAGGGAGCAGCAATCCTAAGCCGCCATCTGGCGGTATCTCGCTCACCGGAATGGCGCCGCCGCTTGGCCGGAGATCGGGCGCCCTCTGGCGGAGACACGCCGAATGCCTGACAGGGGGCGGGGTCCGCGAAGGGTCGCCATGGAAACGGGCGGGAGAGAGGGAGAGGCGTCGCCGACAGTGTCGCTATAGCGATGAGGGGGCGGAGTGCAGGAAGGAGGGGGAGAGTCCGCGCGGCGCTCAGCAGTGGAGCGAGATGAGGGGTCGCCATGGAAACGGCGGAGGGGCGAAAGCCAATGGGATGCTTAACACGGCCTATGGCTATCCGCAGGGAGCACGGATTAACTCCGGGTCTGTGCGCGCGCTCTTTTTATTGTGTGACTGAAAAAAAAAAGAACAAAAACACGAGAGGTGTACGCATGCGCGTGACGCACGGCCGCCTCACGTGGCCACGGGCACGCGCGCGAGTCTGGTAAACGATGTGCGTAGTTGGATAAGGAGAGAGCGGCGCGCGCCCCCTACTTCAAGGCGGAGAGGTGCGCGCACTCGGTAGGGTTTACTGCAATGCGCATGAGCCGATCCTCGTGCAGCAGCCGTTGGGCGGGCTCTGTCGTCACGACAACAAACACGTCAGTGGGGAGGAAGGGAAAGTCAGGCGGCGAGTCGCAGTGTACAGTGCTGCCATCTACTGAACATCGCTGGGAACCGCAGGCACTCATAGGCTGTCTATAGGCGAAAGCAGCACTGACACATTGCAGGGTTATTTACTAAACGGCAGACTACTAGACGATGGCAAAGCATAGCTGCATTTTCACTTTTCGGTTATTTTGAGCTTAAATTTGAAATACACTTTTAATTCATTTTGAATTCTCACCTTATTGAATAACCCTGTCACAGTGCTTATAGTGTGTCTGTATCTCCCCCTGAGAGTCCGTATCCAGAGAGAGTATAACCCTGTCACGGTGCTTATAGTGTGTCTGTATCTCCCCCTGAGAGTCCGTATCCAGAGAGAGTATAACCCTGTCACAGTGCTTATAGTGTCTGTATCTCCCTCTGAGAGTCCGTATCCAGAGAGAGAATAACCTTGTCACAGTGCTTATAGCGTCTGTATCTCCCTCTGAGAGTCCGTATCCAGAGAGAGAATAACCCTGTCACAGTGCTTATAGTGTCTGTATCTCCCTCTGAGAGTCCGTATCCAGAGAGAGAATAACCCTGTCACAGTGCTTATAGCGTCTGTATCTCCCCCTGAGAGTCCGTATCCAGAGAGAGAATAACCCTGTCACAGTGCTTATAGCGTCTGTATCTCCCCCTGAGAGTCCATATCCAGAGAGAGAATAACCTTGTCACAGTGCTTATAGTGTCTGTATCTCACTCTGAGAGTCCGTATCCAGAGAGAATAACCCTGTCACAGTGCTTATAGCGTCTGTATCTCCCCCTGAGAGTCCGTATCCAGAGAGAGAATAACCCTGTCACAGTGCTTATAGTGTCTGTATCTCACTCTGAGAGTCCGTATCCAGAGAGAGAATAACCCTGTCACAGTGCTTATAGTGTCTGTATCTCCACTCTGAGAGTCCGTATCCAGAGAGAGAATAACCCTGTCACAGTGCTTATAGCTCCCTCTGAGAGTCCGTATCCAGAGAGAGAATAACCCTGTCACAGTGCTTATAGCGTCTGTATCTCCCTCTGAGAGTCCGTATCCAGAGAGAGAATAACCCTGTCACAGTGCTTATAGTGTCTGTATCTCCTCTGAGAGTCCGTATCCAGAGAGAGAATAACCCTGTCACAGTGCTTATAGTGTCTGTATCTCCTCTGAATGTCCGTATCCAGAGAGAATAACCCTGTCACAGTGCTTATAAGCGTCTTATGCCTCCCCCTGAGAGTCCGTATTCAGAGAGAGAATAACCCTGTCACAGTGCTTATAGCGTCTGTATGTCCCTCTGAGAGTCCGTATCCAGAGAGGGTATAACCCTGTCACAGTGCTTATAGTGTCTGTATCTCCCTCTGAGAGTCCGTATCCAGAGAGAGAATAACCCTGTCACAGTGCTTATAGTGTCTGTATCTCCCTCTGAGAGTCCGTATCCAGAGAGAGAATAACCTTGTCACAGTGCTTATAGTGTCTGTATCTCCCTCTGAGAGTCCGTATCCAGAGAGAGAATAACCCTGTCACAGTGCTTATAGCGTCTGTATCTCCCTCTGAGAGTCCGTATCCAGAGAGAGAATAACCCTGTCACAGTGCTTATAGCGTCTGTATCTCCCTCTGAGAGTCCGTATCCAGAGAGAGTATAACCCTGTCACAGTGCTTATAGTGTGTCTGTATCTCCCTCTGAGAGTCCGTATCCAGAGAGAGAATAACCCTGTCACAGTGCTTATAGTGTCTGTATCTCACTCTGAGAGTCCGTATCCAGAGAGAGTATAACCCTGTCACAGTGCTTATAGTGTCTGTATCTCACTCTGAGAGTCCGTATCCAGAGAGAGAATAACCCTGTCACAGTGCTTATAGCGTCTGTATCTCCCCCTGAGAGTCCGTATCCAGAGAGAGAATAACCCTGTCACAGTGCTTATAGTGACTGTATCTCCCTCTGAGAGTCCGTATCCAGAGAGAATAACCCTGTCACAGTGCTTATACTGTCTGTATCTCTCTCTGAGAGTCCGTATCCAGAGAGAATAACCCTGTCACAGTGCTTATAGTGTCTGTATCTCCCTCTGAGAGTCCGTATCCAGAGAGAGAATAACCCTGTCACAGCAAGTTATAGCGCCTGTATCTCCCCCCGAGAGTCCGTATCCAGAGAGAGAATAACCCTGTCACAGTGCTTATAGCGTCTGTATCTCCCCCTGAGAGTCCGTATCCAGAGAGAGAATAACCCTGTCACAGTGCTTATAGCGTCTGTATCTCCCTCTGAGAGTCCGTATACAGAGAGAGAATAACCCTGTCACAGTGCTTATAGTGTCCATATCCAGAGAGAGAATAACCCTGTCACAGTGCTTATAGTGTCTGTATCTCCCTCTGAGAGTCCATATCCAGAGAGAATAACCCTGTCACAGTGCTTATAGCGTCTGTATCTCCCTCTGAGAGTCCGTATCCAGAGAGAGAATAACCCTGTCACAGTGCTTATAGCGTCTGTATCTCCCTCTGAGTGTCCGTATCCAGAGAGAGTATAACCCTGTCACAGTGCTTATAGCGTCTGTATCTCTCTCTGAGAGTCCGTATCCAGAGAGAGTATAACCCTGTCACAGTGCTTATAGCGTCTGTATCTCTCTCTGAGAGTCCGTATCCAGAGAGAGAATAACCCTGTCACAGTGCTTATAGCGTCTGTATCTCCCTCTGAGAGTCCGTATCCAGAGAGAGTATAACCCTGTCACAGTGCTTATAGTGTGTCTGTATCTCTCTCTGAGAGTCCGTATCCAGAGAGAGAATAACCCTGTCACAGTGCTTATAGTGTCTGTATCTCTCTCTGAGAGTCCGTATCCAGAGAGAGAATAACCCTGTCACAGTGCTTATAGTGTCTGTATCTCCCTCTGAGAGTCCGTATCCAGAGAGAGAATAACCCTGTCACAGTGCTTATAGCGTCTGTATCTCCCTCTGAGAGTCCGTATCCAGAGAGAGTATGTAGCGGAGAGGCAGTATAATCCACGATATCTCCGCTGGGTAACAGGAACAACAAGGATAATCCAGGGAATCAGCATATAGTAATCCAAACAGCACTGCAGTAACCCTTCCTTCCCAAGAACTAGACGACACATAGGCTGGGAGTCAACTGAGGTTTTAATCACAGGTCACAGCATTTATGCAGTTCCCCATGCAAGGGGTTTCCGTACTGACATTACAGGGGTTGTACAGGAGAGGACTACATGGGGGACTGATATTACAGCCTTTTTCTCCCATCAGGCACCGCTGCACGAGAGGGATAATCCTCCCAGAATGCACCGTTAAGTGGATTACCCCCTCGTGCAGCAGAACCGATAATTCACATAAAAATCAATAACTTGGTGAATATATAGTGGATTTACACGAATGGACGTTCGGTAGATAGCTGGGGTCTGAGGGTATCATTCGTGAGATTACCGCTCAGATCCCTGCTAAAATAACCGAACGCCGCACGAACAACACAATTCATATAAAACATACAAAAAGAACCGATTGCTATTAGGGAACAAAATCCCGAACGCCCCGAAACTCCCGAACGTCCTGGAGGCTCAGCGGGGCTCATGCCGTCGAGTAGCCGTTTTTAGTACCAGGCGCTCGACGACATAACCCCGCTGAGGGAACAAAGGATCCAAGATGGCCGACCGCCGCATGGTCGGTAGTCGAACGACGGCCACCCAGGAGAGCCTCTAATAACCGATTGCAACAATGTTGCAATCGGTTAACTAGCGCCACACGCCTCTAAGTGTGTGGGCTATTAGGGGGTATCGCATTCGCTTCACGAACGGCCCTCCAAAGTGCCGTTCGTGAAACGAACGAGAATCCCCATACAAACCGCCATTTGCATTCGGCGGAACAGATAGGTACAGGCAATGCAGGGAATACATGAAGCAGACACATACAGGTTAAAACGCATATCTCTTCAGACCTATAGGCAACCCTTAAAGGCATAGTGTCCAGTTATAGTCCGAGTGGCTAGGTTTGCCACAATGCTCCCCCAGAACCAAGCCGGCATACACAGTCTGATCCCAACGGATCGGCTTGGGGATGTCCGGAGGAGTACTCACGAATCACGGCTCCAAGTCTGTTTGTCTAGACAACCCGTCGGCGTTGCCATTCTGCTTCCCAGGGCGGTAGTGGATAGTAAAGTCAAAAGGCTGCAGCGCCAAACTCCAGCGCAGCAGCCTGGCATTGTCTCCGGACACCCTGTTCAGCCACACCAACGGGTTGTGATCCGTGAGTAAAGTGAAGGGTTGTCCGTATAAGTAGGGTTGCAACTTCTTGAGGGCCCACACCACAGCCAGGCACTCCTTTTCAATGGCGGCGTAGCTTACTTCCCTGGGTAAAAGTTTTCGGCTTAGGTAAGCTACGGGGTGCTCGCCGCCATCGGGTCCAACTTGGCTCAGTACTGCTCCCAATCCAAACATAGAAGCGTCTGTGTGGACGAGAAAGCGTTTAGTTGGATCAGGAGCAGAAAGTACAGGAGAGTTAACAAGCGCCGTCTTGAGCTGTTGGAACGCCTGCTCACACTCTGGGGCCCAGACTACTAACTTAGGGAGGTTCTTGCGGGTCAGGTCCGTGAGGGGTTTGGCAAGGGCGCTATAGTTGGCCACAAACTTCCGGTAGTACCCGGCGGTCCCTAAAAAGGCGAGCACTTGGGTCTTGGTGCGAGGGGTAGGCCACTGGGCGACTGCCTCTATTTTAGCAGGTTCGGGTTTCTGTTGCCCACTCCCTACCCGGTGCCCCAGATACTGGACTTCCGCCATACCGATATGGCATTTGCTGGGTTTTAGGGTCAGTCCGGCCTCTCGGATTCGGTCTAGAATGGCTCCTATGTGAACCAGATGTTCGTGCCAGGAGTGGCTGAATATGGCGATATCATCTAGATACGCTCAGGCATACTCCTGGAACCCATCTAATAATCTGTCCACCATTCTCTGGAAGGTAGCTGGGGCGTTTTTCATCCCGAATGGCATGACCTTAAACTGATACAGGCCAAACGGGGTGACAAAAGCCGACTTAGGGATGGCGTCTTCCGCTAAGGGAATCTGCCAGTACCCTTTACACAAGTCTATA